GGAACCGACTCGACAGCACTTAACAACAACAAATAGCATTTAAATGTTGTAATGAGAATGAATAAATGCGTTATGAATTACTTGCCTATACAAAGGAGCATGATTAAGCAGTTGACTGCTAATCAAAAGGTCAGTAGTTGGACTCTACCAACTGCTGGCAGAATGATGTGGTAGTCTGTCTTCAGAAAGATTTACAACCTAGGAAACCCTATGGGGCGGTTCTACTGTGTCCTAAAAGGTCACTATGATTTGGAGGAATCCATTAGAAGGCAGTGAGTTTGATTTTTGATTTGGCTATAAAAACAAAATTTTTAAAAATGATGTTGTTTGTTGTTAAGTGACGTTGAGTAGGTTCTGACTCATAGTGACCCTGCAGCAGCTGGTGAGTTTGAACCTCAGACCCTGTGGTTATCCCACAGTGCCAAAAGGAAGTAGACCCTACCCTTCCCCCTTCATCCTGTTCTGGCCACATAAAATTAAATGAAACAAAATGGCGCAGATTGAAGGGCTGTGAGGGTTCAGGTAATGTGCTGCTTTCCCAGGAAAGGGCTCCCACTCTTATCATTAGTGTATGCTACTGCCCTGGTTGAAAGTCAAATGCTTAGTCGGCTATAAAGGCACACAGGAAGTGCTGAGTCAGTAGGTAAATTTCTCCCCTGAGGCCCCTTGGTTTGTGGGCTGCCTGGGGCCTGTGCTGCTATAACAGAAATACCACAAGTGTATGACTTTATCAAACAGAAACGTATTTCCTCACTATTAGGAAAACTGCAAGTACAGATTTCAGTTAGGAATCTGGCTCTAGCAGAAGGCTTTCTCTGCTGGCTGTGGGGAAAGATCCTTGTTTCTTTTCGGCTTCTGCTCCTGAGTGATCTTCATGCAGTTTCGTATCTGTCTGCCTCCATCTGTTTGCTCACTTACTTGTTTAATATTTTTTATAACATGATAAACATTGATTTTAGACACACCCTACATTCATGCTATCTCACTAACATAAGAAAGACAATCCATTCCCAAATGAAATTCTAACCACAGCAATAGTTCTGATTTACAACGCATATTTTGAAGGGACACAATTGAATTCATAACAGACAAGACCTTTGCTACCCCTCTGCCCACTTCCAGACAGCACCACTGACTGCCAGTCAACAGTAGAAATTCTATTCTCTGCCACTCATTCACTGTTCTGATTTCCAAACTGCAGATTCAAGGCCAAAAGGCCCTGAGGTTGCTCTGATCCCAACACGGCCCTGAGAGGTTACACTATTTAAAAGCCTGGGCTGGCTTAATGGGCATGTAACCTATGCAATCAAATAGGGTCTCCTGCTCAGAAAAGCCCTGCATTTGGTTTAAGGTCCTTCTGTGGCCATCTTGAAAGTCTTAGTCATTTTTTAACAAAGGCCCTGCATTTCCACGTTGTGGTTTGTTGTTGTTATGTTAAGTGCTGTCCACTAGGCTCCAGCCCATAGCAATTAGCACCTATTCCTGCTGGGGACCTTCCTGTTTGGATTTATTTCCTTAAATAACAGAGCCTTGGGAACTTTGGGTTTTGCAGTGGTTCAAGCTCACCAGCTGCTCCTTGGAAACCCTATACAGGGTCACTATGGGTCGGAATCGACTCAACAGCACTTAATAACAACAACGACAACTGAAGGAAAAGTTCATCTTTTATCAGATTAATATGCACTTCAGTTCCATTGACTGGGCATTTGTTGAATTCCTACTATGTGCTGATGTTGTGCTGGGAGGGAGAGATACAGGGACAAACAAAAGACGTGGTACCAGCCCAGACTATATAGGTCAGGGAGGGCTTCCTGGAAGAAGTGGTGTTTATATGGAATCCAGAGGAATAAATAGGAATTAGGTGGTGGTCTGAGCACTGAGACATAATATAATAGGGTCTAGAGGAGATTGTTGTTGTTTGTTACGTGCTGTTGATTCAGTTCCAACTCATAGCCACCCAATATAGGGTTTCTGAGGAGCAGCTGGTGAGTTTCAACTGCCAACCTTATGGTTAGCAGTCCAGTGCTTATCCCACAATGCCACATCAGAGGGAGATTAGAAGGGATTTATGCACGATAAAAACATAAATGTCATCTTCATTGATAAATGCAAACATCAAGTCAGTTCCAACTCATGACAACCCTGTAGGTTTCCAAGGAACTAATGGGTTTGAACCACCGACCTTGCAGTTAGCAGCCCAGTGCTTTACCTTACAGTGCAATATAAATGCATACTTATTAAAATAATAAATACTTGCATTTTATGATAAATAATTATCAGCAGTTCACTCACCAGCTGCTAAGCAGTGACTTTGAAGGTGAGTTAGTTAGAGGTACCGGAACTAGCAGAGCAGCCTCAGGAGGTTAAGAGTTACTGAAATAGGTGTAATTATCTTTAGGTGACACACCCAATATCAGATATTCATGCAAGGTAAAGACGATTTCTTGTTTGTTTGTCTCGTGTTGCCCACTCAATACCTGCAGAATCTGGTGTATTGAGGCCAGCCCCCATTTGCACACGGAAAGAGCAGCTGCGCGGCCGCCAGAATCAGGCCGAACCATCATCGGTGCCAGCGGGGGGAACGGGGCTTCTCAGCACTACCGGGGCTCCGTGATGAAGGGAAGTCAGAATAGGGCGGCCAGAGATCCTTACACACCCTGCTCCCTGGGTGAGGTGATTCTACCAGGGATGGGTAGGACCAAGGGTGGGGGGCCGGCGCCTAGCCGAGGATTCCATCCCTCCCCCTGCGCAATGGATTCTGCTGTCGTTCTCGGGGTCTCCATTCCCAGAAACGTTTCCCGCCAACGTAGCAGCAAGGAACTTGGGACCCGGCAGGGTCTGGGCATCGGCCCGGGTGGAGAAGGAGCCGACGGTTGACAGTAGCGGAGGCTGAGATTTGGGGACACCCTCCTCCCCAGACTCCCAACTCCGCGCATTCCACAACTCTCAGGCCTTATAGGGACCATCTTCCTCTCCTTCCGCCCACATGGCGGACAAGAAGCTGGTGGTGGTGTTTGGAGCCACAGGTAAGCGAGACCCCAAACTCAATCCAGGGACTGAAACGCGGGCCCTGAGAGCTCGGATCGCTTGTCCTCTACCCTTCCCGTTTTGCAGAGTCTGAGCGCCCCCTAACTTCTGAGTTTGATACTCCCCGGAGTGGCCCGAAGTGGTAAGATGGCAGGGGCCCCTAGCCCAGGATGGGACGGTGAGGACTCTGTCTAAGAGCAGATTCCGTTTCAGCTTTTAAAGATGAATTACTTTAATTTTTTTGAATAGGTAATAATTGCACTTGAGACGCCAGTTAGATCTCTTTCCCATCCCTGTCCTCCTTTCCCCTCCACCCACTCATCACTTTTAAGCGAGTTTCTTGCATGTCCTACTAAAGGGATTGTTGTTTTAAAGCGCCCTCGAGTCAGTTCTGACTCATAGTGTGTCCAAGAAGTGATTGGTTGGTTTTGAACCACCAACCTTGTAGTTAGCAGTCCAGTACTGATCCTACAGTGCCGCAACAGAACGCCACACCACACACACTAGATGGATTGTTGTTGTGGTGATGTGCCATGGAGTCGGTTCCGACTCATAGCGACCCTGTACAGGGTTTCCGGTGCTGTAAATCTTTAAGGGAGCAGAAAGCCTCATCTTTCTCCCACGGAACAGCTGGTAGTTTTGAACCGATGACCTTGAGGTTTGCAGCGCAATTGGTAACCACTATGCTACCAGATGGATTACATACATAAGGGTTTTTTTTCCCAGATGGTAGTGATTATTTTGAAGCCACTTAATCCAAGGGAAGTCCAAAAACATTGCTACTAAATCATACAAGCATGGGTTTGTTCCAAACAGAACATGTGTAAACATGTTTCTGTGATTAGTGGATGGTCTCAGACAAGTTTCCTCAGTAATACACCGGTCTTAGTCTCCTTAGGGTGACTTCAAAAAGAAATCCAGTCAAAACAGTGGTTTTCTAGGGAGTCTGCTGGGCCAGTTAAGTTCCAGGCAGAGAGGTGAACTCAGAAGGTTTTATATGGTGATTGTTTTGGGGGATCCCAAAGGGGAAATCTTGATAGGCGTATTGGTGTGGCATTGTGGATTAATGCGCTGGACTGCAAGTGAGTTTGAACTTCAGGGTCAGGTTCAAGCTCACCAACTGCTCCTTGGAAACCCTATAAAGGGTCACTATGAGTTGGAACTAACTCGGCGCCACTTAACAGTAATCATACTAGATTTTCTTGAAAGACAGAATGATCATAGGAGCTTATTAGGAGGAAGTTTTTAAGAAAATGCAAAATTGCATTGGTAAAGGGGAAAAAAAAAATCAACCAGGAAAATTGCACTGAAGAATTTTTTTCTATGACAACAGTGCGCTTGTTCATTCTTTGAGGGTAGTAAGGACTCTATGAGAATTTCATTATCCCATCTACCTACAGCCCTGATCTTGCCCCTTTAGACTTCTTTTTGTTACCCAAACTCAACGGACATTTCAGAGGAATGCAATTGGAATCCCTCAAGGATGCCAGAAGTGCAGTTTTAACATGGTATAAATCGAAGAGCACAGAGAGATGGAAATGCAGTTTTCATAAGTGTTTGGAGCTAGATGGAGGATCTAGCTAGAAGCAAAAGCCCACGTTTTCAGATTTTCAGTTAATACAAGTTTTAACGGTTTTGGAGCAATACTTTTGACTTACCCTGGTGCATGTGTATCAATTATAACATCTCTATTGAAATATAATTCACATTCAATACAGTTCACCTATTTAAAGTGTACAATTCAGTGGGGTTTTTTTTCAAAAAGTGTATTTGCAGAGCTGTGTAACCATCATCAGTTTTAGAACATTCCATCACCCAAAAAAATAAACCCTGTGCTCATTTCCCATCCCTCCCCACTACCACTCTTTTAACACTGCTAGTCTATGTTCTATCCCAGAATTCTCTTGTTTGATCTGCCTCTCTGGACGTTTCACATAATCAGAATCCTAGAATATATGGTCTTTCTTGTGTGGTTTGTTTCACTTAGCATAATGTCTTTATGGTCCTAACATGTATCAGTTCATTATATAGCTGAATAAACAGTTCATTTCAAAAATATTTTTTCAAAGGTGCAAGTAAGATGCATGCTACACATGGATGAAACTTGCAAACATTATGCTAAATGAAAGAAACCAGTCACAAAAGATCACATGATGCTGTTGGTAAATGTTGTAGAGTCATTTCTGACTCCTAGCACCCTGTATAGGGTTTCCAAGGAGCAGTTGGTGGATCTGAACCACTGACTTTATGGCTGACAGTACAGTGCTTATCCTATAGCATAACACCAAAACTCCTCACATATGATGTTTTTACTGTTGAGTGCTATTGAGTCGTTTCCGACTTATAGCAACCTGTGTGCGTTTTCAAGGAGCCCCTGGTAGATTTGAACCACTGACTTTATGGTTAGTGGTACAGTGCTTATCCTACAGCATTACACCAAAACTCCTCACATATGATACTATTGTCATTAAGTGCTGTCGAATTAGTTCTGACTCATAGCTACCCTGTATAGGGTTTCCGAGGAGTGGCTGGTGAGCTTGAACTGCCAACCTTGTGATTCAAACTGACCTTGAGATTGAGTGCTTTTCCTATGGCAACACACCAAAACTGTGGGACAGGGAAAAATTGGGGAGAGACTGCTAATGAGTACTGAATTTTGTCTTTTTGTCTTTTTTTTTTTTTTTTTTTTTTTTTTTGTGTGAATTGTGTGAAGATTTACAGAGCAAGTCAGTTTCCCATTCAACAGTTCAGACCTATTTGTTTCATGTCATTGATTGCAATCCCCACAATATAATGTCGCTTATTTGACTTCCTGTAGTTTCCATTTCCATGCTTCCTTTTTTCCTAACTTCCTGTCTTCTGAACTTTTTCCTTGGGCAAATGCTGTCCCTTTGCTCTCTAATAGTCAGCTGTTCTTAGGTGTGTTTACCTCATAGGGTTATTTTCTCCTGATAGACCTGTCTATTGTTTGTCTAAAAATTGAGACACGGAGGCAGATTTTCTTTTGGGGGTGATGAAATTCTTCTAAATGAACTGTGGTGATGTTTGCAAGCTCTGTGTACATTCTAAAACCCACAAAATTATAGACTTTAAATGGGTGAAGTCCATGGTAAACGAATGACATTTCAATAAAGCTGTTATTTTTTAAAGGTGTAAGCAAGGGTCTAAGGAGAATTGTATGTGGACAAATCGCTTGGGTGTTTCTGCCTCTGGTAGAACATTCCCTTTTGGGACTCTTCCCTTAGGGGTGTCCTGGATGTCTTTCTGGTTCCGTAGGTGCCCAGGGTGGCTCTGTGGCCCGGGCTCTCCTGGAGGACGGGACATTCACAGTCCGAGTGGTGACTCGGAACCCTGGACAACAGGCAGCAAAGGCATTGAAGCTACAAGGTGCAGAAGTGGTTCAGGGAGACCAGGATGATGAGGCCAGCATGGAGCGGGCCCTGACCGGGGCCTACGCCACCTTCTTCGTGACCAACTACTGGGAGAACCTTAGCCAGGAGCAGGAGATCAAGCAGGTGAGGGCAGACAGGTGGCTGATGGGAGGATGCAGGGCATCTTAGGAGACCTCTCGGGTCTCCAGCTGGTCCCTGGGAGGCAGCTCCACCTTGCCAGCAAGAGCTGACTGTTGCATGTCCAGCCTTTCTCCTTCCATGGTATGTGAGCGCAGGGAGACTGCTACTTTCTCATCCAGTGGCTTTTTTTAAGAAAGAAAGATACTGTTCATGAGCTGTCTTATACAACAGAAGGCACTAAGTTGGAAAGCACAAACCTCAGATGGGAGTCCTGCCTCTTCCAGAGTTCACTGTATGGCTTTGGACAAGTAACTTCTTTTCTCTGGTCCTTTCTTGTCTCCTCTAGTGGTGTGGGTTAGGCACAGGACTGACTGCAAGGCTGGAAGTTCAAACTTAACTAGTAGCTCTGAGGGAGAGAGATGAGGCTGCCTACTTCTGTGAAGATTCACAGTCTCAGAAACCCAAAGGAGCAGTTCTAGTGTGTCTAGTTCTGGGGACTGGAAGTCTGAAGTCAAGGGTGAGGTTTCTCCCAGAGGCCCTAGGGAAGAATCCTTCCACGCCGCTTGTAGCTCTGTGACTCCAGAACACCAGCTTCTGCCTCCATCTTTTCATGTTCCTCCCCTCTGTGTCTTCTGTCTCTCATAAGGACAGTTGGCATGGGATTTAGGGCCCACCAAGTCAATCTAGGATCATGTTAGCTCAAGATCCATAACTTGGTTACAGCTGCAAAGACTGTTTCCCAGTGTTTCATTCACAGGTTCGGGAGGGGAGGATATACCTTATTTTGGAGGCCACCATTCAACCATTACACAGCCCTATGTGGCAAGTAGCATTGTCCCCATTTAACTGATGAGGTCAGAGTGGTTAAGTCACGTGACCTGGATCACAGAGTGCATTGCAGAGCCCAGACTGGAACCCGAGCAGTTGGTGTGTTTATTCATTTAGATATTGGTGGTGGTGGTGGTGGTGTGCCACTCAGTCGGTTCTAACTTATAGCAACCCTGCATAGGGTTTTCAAGGCTGTAATATGGGAGTAGAAAGCCTCATCTTTCTCTCATGGAGCAATTGGTAGGTTTGAACTACTGACCTTGTGCCTCACTGAGTAGTAGGACCTCCACAGTCAAGCTCCTGGAACTCTCCAGGGAAGATGATAATGGTACTGTGGACTGGTCAGTCTCAGACCAAGCAGAGATGAGAGCAGCTTCTGTGCCCCCTTAGCCAACCTGCCCACCCTCACTTATGCACTGCAGTTGAACACCAGAGAAAGTAGAATTACCCAAATTATCTAGAGAAGGGACTCTAGGATTCTCTGGGTGCTAGAAGGTGGTACTGTATGTGAATAGTGTTTGATGCTTAGCATTGCTGGCCTGGGCCACTCTGGGTTTAGTAAGCCAGAATGTGGTTGGGGCTCCACAGCCTTCTCTCTGTCTCATTTCTTCATTTCTGCCTACCAGGGAATGCTGCTGGCTGACCTGGCCAAGCACCTGGGTCTTCGCTATGTGGTCTACAGTGGTCTAGAGAACGTCAAGAAGCTGACGGGTGGGAAACTGGCCGTCGGCCACTTTGATGGCAAAGGCGTGGTAGAGGAATATTTCCGGAACATCGGCGTTCCCATGACCAGTGTGCGGCTGGCCTGTTACTTCGAGAATCTCTTATCCTACTTCTTGCCCAGGAAGGCACCAGATGGAAAGAGCTACCTGCTAAGTGAGTTGTCCCTGCCCCCGGCCCCACCCCCAGCCATCGGCACCCACTAACCTGGTGAGACGGGGTTCCCCTCTTGTGACGCTGCAGGGGTTGTCTACAGTGTGTTTGTCATCAGAGGGTCTGCTTTTGAGCCCCCAACCCTCATGTTAGATCTGTGACTCTGAGAAAGTGGTTTAACCTTACTAGGCCTCTGTTTCCTTTTCTGTGAAGTGGGCGTAATGGGAATGTTTGTAAGTGAATGAAAATAGTGTCCTCGCTGCTGGTTCTACCAGGCTTTGTCCAATGCAAAGTTTAACAGAATCAGCACAGTGTTGTTATTTCAAGGAGCCCTGGTGGTGCAGCAGGTAAGCGCTCGATCCATGTCCTGAAGATGGGCGATTCGAACCCACCAGCTACTCCGTGAGAGAAAGATGTAATGGTCTGCTTTTGGAAAGATTGACCACCTTGGAAATAGTTGCAGTTGGCAATGGGTTATTCCTTCTTTAGAAAGAATATTTGGAAAACTTGTCTGGTTGGAGATTTCACAGTGTACATTTGTAGATCAGTAAACCCACTGATTTATTAAATTCCAACTTAATAGCAATTATGCAGGACAGAGTAGAGCTGTCCTTTACAGCCAGAATGCTCCTTAGAAGCAAGAATAAGGAGACCTTGGACATGTTGTTAGGAACGACCAGTGTCTGGAGAAAGGACATCATATTTGATAAAGACTCAGCACAAAAGAGGAAGAGCCTCAATGAGACGGAGTAACACAGCGGCCGCCACAATGAACTCAAACGTAACAATTGTAAGGAAGGCACAGAGCTGGGCAGTATTTGGTTCTGTTGTACGTAAGGGTCACTATGAATCACAGTTGACTCAACAACAGTCTTTGCTGAAACACGCTGCCACTTCTGTCTCCCTTACAGTGGTTGGTGGGTTTGAACAGCTAACCTTTTGGTTAGTAGCCAAACGCTTAACCACTTGCCACCAGGGAATGCAGAGCTTGAAAGAAATCTTAGAAAGCTTGTCTCCTGTTGGCCGGTTTACAGTGAGACGCTGCTGAGGCCCCGGATGGGGCTGGTGTGCTTATCTAGGACACCAGGTGCTGCATAAACACCACTCGTCTTCACGCAGGAAAGTCAGTGGTGGCCAGAGAGTTGCCACCCAGTGAGCAGAGCCCGGGACTGCTGATAGCCATGGCACCACCCTTTACAATTTACAAAGCCATGGTCAAGGATATAACCCCAGTCTAGTCTCAGGAGTTGGTGCTCTATCCTCAAGGTTCCTCATGGGTCCCAACAGGCAGCCTTGGAAGACCAGAGGTCCCCATCATCCTGTGTGGCCTCTTTCACGATGCTCTTCTGATTCTACATCTGCAGAACCACAACTTGGAAGGCAGAGTTGTTCTTTAATTTAATAGGTGCTTATCAAGTGTCTGCCATGCCCCGCTCAGGCCAGGCTGTGGCACCTGGCTAATCAAACACTCGTGTTACGGGAATTGGGGTTTGGGACATGCACCACCAGGTTTCTAGCTACCAGGAATTCAGGCCATGATGAGGTGTGCCAGGGTGATCCAGAGGGACCACAGGGACCAGCCCATTCTTGGTGGCAGCTTTCAAAACCTTTTTCTGCACATCAAGGATTAATCCTATCCCCTCTGTGTACAAGGTTATAGGGTTGATAAGAACGGCCAACTTAGATATTGGTGGTGGCTGTGTGCCATGGAGTCTGTTCCAACTCATAGCGACCCTGTACAGGGTTTCCAAGGCTGTAAATCTTTACGGGAGCAGAATGCCTCATCTTTCTCCCGTGGAACCGCTAGTAGTTTCGAACTGCTTACCTTGTGGTTCACAGCCCAATTCGTAACCACTACGCTACCTGAGCTCCTTATTGGCTACCTAAAATGGCGGCGGGGGAAGAGGGCAATAAATGCACAAAGTGACTGGCTTACAAGTTTTCAAAAGGGAGTTTAGTTTCCAAGTGTGCAGGGGAAGGTAGAGCCCCCACTGAATAGTTTTCATCTTGTCTAGATGGGTCTGGTGAAAGAAGATGGGGATAAGATTCTTATGATTCAAAAGTGAGTAACTGTTATTATGACTAATTGCAATTGTCACAACTGTAAAGTTGTTGTTGTTAGGTTCCATTGAGTCAGCACTGACCCATAGCGACCGTATGCACAACAGAACGAAACACTGCCCGATCCTGGTCCAACCTCACAATTTTTGCCACTCTTGAGCCCATTGATGCTGCCGCTTTGCCAATCCATCTCACTGAGGGTCTTCCTCTTTTTCTCTGACCTTCTACCTTACCAAACATGATATCCTTCTCCAGCGACTGGTCCCTCCTGACTATATATCCACAGTATGAGAGACCAAGTTTGGCCATCCTGGCCTCCAAGGAGCATTCTGGCTGCACTTCTTTCAACACGGATCTGTTGGTTCTTTTGGCAGCCCATGGCACTTTCCATATTCTCCTCCAACACCATAACTCAAATTCTTCTGTGGTCTTCCTTATTCACTGTCCAGCTTTCGCATGCATATTAGGTTATTAAAAATACCATGGCTTGGATCAGGCACACCTTAGTCCAAAAGCTGACATCTTTGCTCTTCAACAAGGTCTTGTGCAGCAGATTTGCCCAGTGCAATATGTTGTTTGATTTCTTGACTGCTGCTTGCATGAGTGTTGATAGTTGATCCAAGAAGAATAAAGTCCTTGACAACTTCAATCTTTTTCCATTGATAAGAATGTTGTTTATTGGTCCACTGGTGAGGATTTTTGTTTTCTTTACATTGAGATGCAATCCATACTGAAAGTTGTGCTCTTTGATCTTCATCAGTAAATGTTTTAAGTCCTCGTCACTTTCAGCAAGCAAGGTTGTGTCATCTGCATATCGCAGGTTGTTAATGAGTCTTCCTCCAATCCAGATGCCACGTTTTTCTTCATAGAACTCAGCTTCTCAGATTATTTGCTCAGCATACAGGTTGAGTAAGTATGGTGAAAGAATACAACCCTGTCACACAACTTTCTCAATTTTAAACCATTCAGTGTTCCCATGTTCTGTTCGAACAACTGCCTCTTGGTCCAGGTACACATTCCTCATGAGCACAATTAAGTGTTCTGGAATACTCATATTTCGCAGTGTTGTCCATAGCTTGTCATAGTCAATAAAGCACAGGTAAACAAACATCTTTCTGATATTCTCTGCTTTCAGCCAAGATCCATCAGACATCAGCAACGATATCCCTTATTCCACGGCCTCTTCTGAATCCGGCTTTAACCTCTGGAAGTTCTCTGTCAATGTATACTTGCAACCGTTTCTGTATTACCTTTAGTAAAACATTACTCGCATGGGACATCCAAGACACTGTCTGATGATTTCTGCATTCCGTTGGGTCACCTCTCTTTGGAATGGGCACAAATACAGATCTCTTTTATCAGTCGGCCAGATAGTCATCTTCCAGATTTCTTGGCATAGATGAGTGAATGCCTCCTGTGCCGCCTCACTTTCTTGAATGATTTGTTTTTATTCCATCAAGTCCTGGTGCCTTGTTCTTCGCCAATTCCTTCAATGCACCTTGGACTTCCTCCTTCAGTATCATTGGCTCTGGATTACATGCTACCTCTTGAAACAATTGAACATCAACCATTTCGTTTTGTTACAGTGACTCTGTGTATTCCTTCCATCTTCTTTTGATGCTTTCTGCATCATTCAATAATTTG